GGAGAGGCTTTTGCCTATCAGCTCAGGACCCCTGGGAGAGGCTTTTCCCTATCAGCTCAGGACCCCTGGGAGAGGCGCTCTGCTGGAGGGGGGCGGGGGGTGCCCGGCATGCTTCTCTCTTACTGGCTGCTGCTACCTGTGTGATTTTCAAGAGCAGCAAGAGCTCTTCTGGCTTCTGCCGATCCGACCGGCATCCTGGTCCTGCTTCTTAGCGGGACAGATGGTATTGGACTGTGAGTCGGTCATTTAATTTATTTATCTTCCTCTCCAACTGTCTTTGTTAATATACCTTTTATTTCCCCGTAAAAAAATAGAGAAAGACAGAAGCAAGAGCGGGAGACGGCTTCCCGCCCCCCTGCCAGAGGACTTTTCTCTCCTAGGCCGATGCCTAAGCCACACTCAGAGTCCATTACCGGGATCAATGCTGTCCGCAGGGACTGTCTCCCCCAGCTCCTACTGCCTGTGGGCAGAGGTGGGGGTGGGGGGCTTTACTCTTTCTTCTCCTATTATCCTGTCATCCAGGATCAGGACCAGTGGTCCCCCAAAGTTTGGAAGGGAGAGAAAGCAACTGACTTCACGTCTTCAGTCTTTATCGCCCCTTCCCTCGTCTTTGTCTCTTTCCCTCCCTCCTCCCCCATCTGCCAGAGTTCCAGGCCTGGAGGCCTTTTTAGGACATGCTGAACCCTCAGAGCTATTTCCAGGCAAATTCTAGGTTATTTATAATAGCTTGGTTTCTTCTCCTTTCCCCTCCTCTCTGAAGGTGGCCCGTCCTGTCTGGAAGGCCAAGCTCTGGGCCCACGGGGCCTGACTGCCTGACCCTGCATTTGCCCCAGCAGGGGGCGCTCTGCCGCCCAGTGCTTGGTGAGACCCGGCCAGGTACCTGGGGTGGCCTTAGCCTTTGCGAGTGAGGTTGCCTCCCCAGCGCTCCCTGGCTGAAAGGCCCTCGCTGTTTTTGGTGTCTTTCATTTCAGCCCTGGATGAGACTGGATGAGGCTCACCTTTGCTCTGTGGTTTCAGCTTTCTTATTTCCTAGGGACAGACAGTGCCATAGAGTTGCTGTGGGGATACCAGCTGTTCTGGACGGCTGCAAGTCGCTCTGAGCGGCACCAGCCCCGTTAGTGTGACTTGTGTGGAGAAGAGCCTCGCAGTGAACTGGGCCGGAGGGCCGAGCGGCGCCGTGGCCGGCCCTCCCCCTCCCCCAGGGCCACCGGATAGCGTCCAGTCGGAGAGGGCGGGAAGGGTGGGAGTGAGGTGTGTGGAGGGAGGCAGTGGACGGTGGAGGGCCTCGCCTTTGCCTCCCGTGACGGGCCCGGGGTCCCCGGCGCCCGCTGCCCCAGCTGCTGCCTGTGTTTGCCTGTCTGCAGGGCTTCAGCTGTGCTACTGTCCTGCCCAGGGCGCAGGGGCGCTGGGATCAGCCAGGACGAGTGTGAGGCGGGCAGCGGTGGCCTGGAGAGGCTGCG